GGATTTGAAATGTGAACATGCCTCTATCCTTGGTAAAAAAATGAGCCCGTTTGGTCGAGTTGTAATGAAGATATTCAACTTTTTCTTTGTGGAGTTACTTACTGGACACCCTATATATTCAGCCAGTATAGCCTACCCATTTCCGAGGCGATTAAAAAACGTAATTAATTTTCTAATGTACCACTGTTGAACTTCTTTTTTTTGTTATCCTTTTTTGATTATATAATCTTCACAGTTTTCAATGCTCATTCATGCCGAAACGAAAGTATAATAATCTCAATAGGTCTAAGAAAACTTCATCCTCAATAAAATTAGCAACAGATCCTTAATTTGATAAGAGTATTAATGATGTAAGAAGACATTTTTTGATAAAAAAAATAATAATTATAAATAATAGAGAAAAAACATTCGTGAAAATTTCTATAATCGTAAAAGTATTAGAAGCATGGGAAGAAAAAAACGTAATGACAATTATGCTACGTCATAACTCGGCCAAAATCAAATTTGAACTTTGAGAAAAACAGCACATAAGCGAGTGAAACAAGCAGAAAATAGAAGCTGACTTAATCTCACACATACAAAGAACAAAAGTAGTCGAATGTCTTCTTAAGGACATCGTATTTTTTATGAATATTAAAACAGGCCTTACTTATTATTCTGATAAAAAAAATTCGAACGATCAACAAATAATAACTTTCACATCTGGAGTGTTCATATAAGCATAAGTGATTGGGCAAAGCTCCTACATTTCAATGAATCACAAGAGACAAATCCGTTAAAACACGTTGAATTATTTTAAAAAATTGGAAAATAACGAGTTATTCTTCGATTTTGTGAAACACCTAAGTTCAGAATTAATGTGGCTAAACGCCGTACAAATATCATTAAACCGGTGTTGTAACGAAATTTTAGCGTATTTTTGTAGGATTCTTGTCTACATGGGTTGCATGCATATTTGCTCGAACATAATCCCCAATTTTATCAATGTTTAGAAAAAAAAAAACACTCAACTATACTTATAATCACAATTTACAGTCATTTTTCTTTTAATTTTAAAAATATGAATATTCTAAAGCGAAGAGTGAGTTTTTACCAAAACAAATTCCTAACGCTGTGCTTCTATTTTAGTGCTTTTCGATCACACGTTGAAACTCTGATCGATTTTCAATCAAATACATATAATGCAGCTCTATTGAATATGTTGATTGTATTCGAGTACCATAGTTAAACTCAACGACGTACCAATATCTTATGTATATTTTAGGATCGATAGCAAGATTCTCGTGACATTTTAAACCGGTTACTATGCTTAACTCAGTTAGATGATGGGCTGGTGAAAAAATGCATGAAAAACAATTTACTCACGTTCAAGCCTTTTGATGAATTGTTTGATTTCATTGTTCGATGTTTCTGTATTTGTTTGAAATGTTTTTTGAATCTTTTGAATTTCTCCGCCTGTTTCTTGCTTATAGACTTCGAATGTCTGCTGTAAGTGTTGAATCTCTTCGCTTGCTTGTTGTTTGTTGGTTTCGGATACTTGTTGAACTTGTTGAATGGCTTCAGGTAATGGTTTCGTTTTTTCAGTTAACTGTTGAATTTGTTGACTTGCTTGTTGTTTATTAGTTTCAAAGTCTTGTCGAAGTTGTCGAAGTTGTTCTTTAAGACACATAATTTCCGTGTGCACAGTAGCAGCATCGCCTCTCTTGTAGATCATGTTGCATTCTGAACATGTCAATTCAATTTCTTCACAAGTATTTTCATGATCAACATAATTCAATTTCAATACTGTTGCATGACAACCGCGACACTCTAGTGGCTTATAGTTACATTCTTGTTCATGCTTTTCGATGTTGTCGTATGGAAGAACCTACGATAAGAAATTATCAAGTCATTGATAAGATTTTTCATTCTTAGTGCATTATTTACCTGATCACAACCATGTAGTGCATTTACACATTTAAAATGTAAGCGGGCAAGTTGCTGCATGATTAATCGAGGACATTGTCGTTGAAGAAACTCTTGACATTCGTTTCGGCATATTCCCGAATTTTCGGCAAGCCATTGATTAATGCAAGTCGAACAAAAGGCTGTTTCACAATTCTTACATGCAATCGGTTGCCAAAGAATATTCGCACAAATATTACATTTAAGATCGTTGATATCAAATTCACATGAGCCATCTATGCGTTCAATTGGAAGACCGTGTTGTATGGATTCCATCTAGAAAGTAAATTTAAACATGTTGTTACGTACATGAACTAAATAGACATAATTGAGTAAATAAAGAATGAACTATAATAATGAATCGGACTAAAAATATATTAATTATCTTTTTAACTTTCTATTGATAAAACTTAATCATACACGAATCAGAGGAAAATATTTCAAACTCTATGAAACTTTCGACATTACTTTTCCAAAACGAAACACTTCGCTTGGCATAGCAATGCAAACATGCATGTACTCTATATGTTCTATCTGTAACTTATTGTCACCTATGCTGCTAAAGAGCCCATGGCATCATAAAAGTGAAAACTCAAAAGCAAATAATTCTATAGTAAAGCATACAGTATTTAATCTTCTATCTACCTAATATATTTTGACTGATTCAACATTTTGGAGGAAACTTATCATCCTTGAAAAATGTTATACGTGTGATTTTGACAGATTTTGAAAAAGATTGGCATTTTTCATGTTAACTTTAGGTTGAGTTTTAATGAATGAGCCCACACCCTTGCTTTACTTACCGAGGAAGTGAAGTTAGACCTAGATTTCAAATATATTCTGGAGAAGCTCGCCCTGAAATCTGTTTCAACACTACTATACTTGTTATAAGTATAACTTAACGAGTTCTACCTAATTGATGTAATCGGATTTGTAATGGCTCAAAACGTAGGAGCTTGTTCCAAAACTAATATTCTTATTTGAGAATAACTCGACATGCCCTATCCAACGATATAGTTAGTTTTTTATTGTTCAAACTGTACCACGAAATTCTCAAAACACTAGTATTTCACTATAGGGGTCTTGGAATTGCTACACTAAATGTGTCTGACATTCGTCGAGGAATTAGTTCCAAGAGTTTTCTCTTTCTATGGCTGGTAGTAACAATACTTTGTTGAACTAACTAGCTTACATATTCAAGAAGGTTAGACTAAAGATAGTATTCCTGTGCACATGGCTGTCTTTGTCGAATAGACAATTTCCACGAAAGCTCAGAAATATAATTTACTAATAACTGCTGCGAAGACCACTGGTTTAAGTGCAACATACATCATATAAAATGATACTCGGCACAAAAACTAAAAGAAGCTCCGTAACAAGCTATTACTCGAATATCGTACATCAAGTCCTTGACGCATTAGAAATTTCAGGTTCTTCTATTTTGTCTTATCATTTACAAGTGACAAGAGGATCTTCTATTATATACTTTAAGAATGTATATTTTTTTACAGTTTCGCTGATAGTTCTTAGTTTCCATTCATTTTTACTTAATAAATTGTTAGTCAACGAGTTTATTCTACACTCCTACAATGTAAAAGAAACAGATAATATCCCGTCAAAGAAAAAGACAAAATCATTAGCCAGAGGAGTATTCTTAGAATGATACAGTCAATGTATTCTAACAACATCTATCATATGTAATATTTTATCTCCTATGTAGATCAATAACTGAGAGAAAGAAAACGAATTTTTTTTGTTGGACTTATTTAAGTCAGTCGCTAATGCTTATGTTTGAGTAGTATCTATAAAATTCGTTCATAGCGCGATGTTTCATTAGCATGATTATTCGTTCCAAGCTAACATGAATGAATATGATTATCAATGAATAAACGGTTTATAGAAAAACAGTAGTTGAAGACACCTTCAGAATTTTTCTTGTGCCCGTTTTGAAAAATATCTTCCCATTTTTTTCACAAAACGATGCGTTCTTAGACTTAAAAGTAGTATTTTATAGAACACATATTGGCAGGTGTGCCTGAAAATATATTTTTCTCAATTATCAATAAGCTATTTTTTTTTGATAAAAAGTTTCTGAACTTCTAGAAGAAAATGTACGAAGGCGAAAAGATCCCGAGTTCATGGGATGTTGTCACTAATGAAATGCAGTGTTTAATAAATTGTTCGTTTCTATTAGCTGTTTCTCGTACTTTTTCAACATCAGAACTCACATATTGTTAAGACGATTGAAACAAAAAATTATCTATACCGAACTTAGATATTAACATGGACGTAAGTACTAAAAGAAATCAACAAATTCAGACATAATTTTAAAAAATTGATTTTTAAAAGGAAATCTTCTAATGTGTTGAAGGCTTTATATAATCTCATGTATAATTGAATTTTAAAATCAAAGATCAGTATTTTGAGATTCTAGAGATATAGCTTGAGCTATAAAAAAATGATTATATTATAGATTATGGCGCATCACCTTGTAGTTGGAAGAGGTTCTAGGGCTGATGCCACCGAAAACTACTGGAGCGTGAGTCTATCGTTACATACATTTACATACCTGAGATAAGAAAAAAAAAGGATAGAGTTAATGTACGTCAATAATTTGCTTGTGTGCAGCAATATCGTTTGATCTTTGCTTTTCTTTCTTTCAGGCAAGCTGTCAGAGATTTTGCTCACGCAGATATCTACTTTTTGATAGTCTGTCTTACGAAGAACACAAATTTTTGCTCCTTTTCATCGGCGTAAGCCACTAATTTGATAAAAAAAAGGTAGAGTATAGGCAATAACTCCAAGATATTTTACAACATTCTTGCAATAGTAACACTTGAAAAATCAGCCTTGTCATCACCAGAAAACTTTTAACTGTGCTTTTTTGAAGTGTCGTCAATTATATTTGATAATAAAAGCAGCATAGCTGTCCAAATCGAAGCTTTTCTTCATGCAAATAAATACAATTTATTGCTTCTCACTCTCTGATATCGATAATAGCTTTGCAACGCTTCAAAATTTCGACATTCTCTGTTGATTTTAAATCAAAACTTGCAAAACAGTATACCTTAACATATGTATCGGTAATGCTTATGTCTTTAAAACCTAGGCCTTTTGAATGAACAGTATCTCAGCTCTTCTTTAATGTAGCCTCCTCCCCTCACAAGAACAGAAGATCGCCCACAAGAAGAGCTTCTAAAAGCCAGTTTTTCTTAGCAAAAATCTTTGTTTTCCAGCATTTATTCGCTAAAAGCCTCCATTTGAATATTAGAAGAGTTTTCAAAAACCCTTAGGTTTCTAGGTAAATGTTAGCAAAAGCCTATCTTGGAATAGAATGCCATCTTTGGAGGAGCGATATGAATTTCCATAAGCACAGACCGTAGACTTTTATTCTCACGGCAAAAGAAGAAGATTTACTATGTCAAAATGTACTTCATTGGAAAACGAGTTCATTAAACATGAGAACAAGCGAAATTGCAAGCTATCAATGATTGATCACGTATTTTGTTTGGATGAGGTATTTTCATTGCATTCAGCTGAAAGAATCTTCTCAATCGTTTGGCCATTGAGAAGGCTATGTGAATGACATTTGTGAAAAGTATTTATTCAAACATTCACAAAAGTATGTAACTATTTTTCTTCACGAAAAGCATATTTAAGTCTTCACAGGAATTCAAATATCGCCACTGAAGGCGATGAAATTTTCGCTATTGATTGAGAAACGTAAATGGACTACTGTGGGCTTTCTCTCAGAAAGGCTCAAAATAATGCTAAAGACTATCTATTAGCAGCGAAAAAATGCAAATATTTTGATTGTTCCAATGGTCATTTTATGCTGAGAGCCGAATAGATCTTGTTGCTGTTAACTGTCAAAACTTCGATTGTACCCTGAAACGAACGTATTGCTAGGTAATAATTTGATAGAAGACGACTCACATCTCTGGGAAACTCACGAAGAATTAACGATTTATTCACTGTAAGACTTCGCTCTTTATCTGGACGCTGAAATTGTTTATAGGAGCAACTATTGTTTCTTTATTCGAATCTTCTCTGACTGCCCAACGATGAAAAACTGACTATGAAACGAATTCATTTTGACTTAATTCGAATTCAATATTATTCGGAACAATCTCTTCAGATCTCATCATTCAATATGAAGATCGACATCGAAGGCTGACTATTGATCACCATCACTCTCAATAATTTTGTAGAATGTCGAATTTTAGTATCTTGAAAAAGACATTTGCATAAATAGGCTGAACGAGTTAACCATAGGAAATGGTCAAAAATCACATATTCCTAAAATGTATTTTGACTTTCTCATCAACAGATGTAACTCAACTGTTGAACTATTTTTACTCAGAAACCATGTTCTCCTCCCTCAACATATACCTAGGAATGTTTATATTTTTAATAATTCAAGCAGTTCTAGATTCAATTGTATTTGGTTAAACAAGAATCTCAAAAAAAACCATGTAAGCGATCAATTCCTTTTGAAAATTGTTTAATCATCTTAGGAAAAAAAAAAGATAAATTTTGATAAACGATTTTGATGAGCATTTTTCTCTTTCATCATTAATAACTAGAACCAAGCAATTGACTCTCGATGATCGCCTGCTACAATGAAGAATTTTACTTTGGATTCCGGAAATTCATCTCTAAGAAGTGTTAACGTACAGAACTTTCTATTTTGAAAATTTACTAGTACCAGCTATCAACATGTGGTAGGATAATATCAAAAGAAAGAACACAATGCATAATATTTGTAAAAGAAAAACATCAAACTCCTTTTCTGAGCACTATCTAGTTCTGAATTGAATCGATAGTGAGTCACAGAGATGAGTCAGTCTTCGAAACAAGTTTTATACCTACCTATTAATTCTTACTTCTAAGCAATTAACATCAAATTAATACATTCTTGAAAAAAATTCTCGTCAATAAATACTGTTCTATTCTTTTTCTTAAGCTCGCTTTATTGGTCTGGAATACATTTTAATCATGATTCAAATCGCGTATGGTTTTCATAAGACATATTGTTTCTTTGAAATAATTTTTAAAGTTTTTCTTTGTTTCCAAAGTCACTGTTGCTGATAGTTAAATAGAAATGAAAATATGAATGTGTTGATACTTACAGGTATGAGTACTGATGCAAAAACGAAGTTGAATCTACAACAGCCGAACATGTTTGGCTATAGGCGGACGTATGGAAAAACTAGCATTCATTTCGGAGTAGGGTCATATATTTGCTACAATATTTTTTTGATTTTCGTCATCTT